ACTGTGGTTTTAGCCGTTTGGTTGTAATTCATTTTCAAAGTTTAAAAAATGCTCGAAAAAGCAGTGTTTTTACATTTTACTGATTTTCTCGAAAACTATAATAGATAGAATGAATCCAAAATATGCATATGAAAGCTGAATGTTTGGGGAATCTAGCAAGTATCGATATATTACAGTGGTTTTAGCCGGTTGGCTGTAATTCGCGTTCTTTTTATGAAAAGAGAGGCGCCAAATTATTACATACTTTTGAGGGAGGAGTAGTAACTTCAAGTTTGGAAACCACTAGTCTAAGTAAACTCTAATGATGAATAAAAAATGAAATTATGAATATGTGGAATAATCAATTTCATTTTTCCCTCGTTTTATTTATTGTGTACGTCAAAATAATGCCATAGTCAATTACATAATAGCACGGTACTAAGAAAATACATTTGCTAAAGTAATCATAAATGCTAACGGAATACTATACATCTATCATATCTGCTACACACGTATAGTATATACGAATGAAATAAAATATACAGAAAAAACTCGATGCAAATTTGCTAATTCGTAATAAATACTAAATTTGTATAAATAAGTCAGAAGCTAATATATGTGATGTAACTTTATTGATCTAAAAACTGACTAAAGTCTATGTAATAAGAATTATATGCTGTGTGTTGAATTAAGGAAGCAGAGTTAATTTTATAAATACTTTATTGGTAATAGTAATAACACTTCAAACAACTACAAGATACAATATATTTCTTCTATAAATAAGCATATATGATTTTCTCGAATATGAAAACGGCGAGACTGAGCACATTTCCAAGAACCAAAATAATCAAGGCAATACTGAGTTCTTGTACGTTCAATGGTCGACTTTCAAACTCTTCTTTCACTTTACTCGTAGATTTTAATTGGTAGAAAAACAGACCGCTCTCATCGATACTCTTCAGAACGTCGTTGATTTTATGTATAAATGGCGAGGCTTCGTGAAATATATAGGATTCAAATCCGGGAACGATGCTCTCTTGTATCACGTGAAACATATCTTCGCCTCTGTTTAAAAGTGCCATATTAATTAATCCTTCGATGTAGGAATTCATGCCGACGTATGCGATGGAATTGTTTCCTCGCATTATGTTTTCAGCAAATGTTGGTGCCGATACGGTGATTAATTGCGGATGAAATTCAGCGGGTATCAAATTTTGATGTTCCTTTAAAATGAGCATCTTTAAGTTGGTCTCCAATAAGTTTTGCAAAGTGTTGATTTCTGGGTTGTACTTTTTTTCCAAAAGTGCGCTTAGGATGGAAGAACTGTACGAATAAGACGCTGTTAAACCCATAAAAACAAATCCAATGTAAAACGTATTTGCCAGAGGATTATTTGTCTTGAATATATTGCCAATACCACAGAGAGCTCCAAAAAGTTGTACAGAAAGCAAACTGATTGATTGTTTGGTAATTAAGTAAATTGTAGAAATGAACAGTATATAAGTAATGGCCAATAACATCCATACTTTATAATTGAATATATTTAATAATTTTTGTATTTGAGTCAGTTTTGGTGCTTTCGGTACGACTACCACCAGATCGTCACGTTTAAATGGTTCACCATATTTCACTCCCTCTTGGACTCCATAAAATTGTCCGATTGCACAAAAATCGGCTTCGTGCTGTCTCAGAATTTTGTACGCATCATCGAAATCGTTGGATCTCACGATGACGAACGTTGCGTTTATAACTTCTTCTATGATTTTTAAAATCCTCATGTAATTACCGCTGAAAGTATCTCCGTTGAGGAACGCTCTCGGCGGATCATGATATATAGTTATATAAACCTTGTATTTCAAAATGTTATTAAACTTATGTAGTTGATTCCACGTGTCTTGATTATCTTTCGTGATTCTAATGATCTTATGATCGAATGGGTTATAAGTAACGTCTATGTATCCTTTATCGTAATAAAGCAATTGGAAGCTCCAGATCTTCGCGTTCCATATATTTTGCAGACCCTCCAATAAAACTTCATCGGGTAATGTTACAAAATCATTAACTGCAAACACATACAGAGCGTATCTGCTCGTCACAATTGAATCACTAATTTCATCCAAGAATGGCTTCAATTTACTTATACCTAAAAGATTTACTACATCTGTCCTAATTACATCATTAGTCGTTGTCAATACTTTAAAATTGTTGTTGAATATGTAGAATGTGTGCGGTTCATACATATCGCTAGACGACATCTGTATACCCTTGTTAATAAATAAATTTCGGCCCTCAGATAAATCGAACAATCGGATTACGTCATTCATCGATGAGAATGTATCATTTATGAATGAATTGAATGCATCTTCACCCTCGAACTGCTTTATTTCCAGCAAGGGATTTGTCGCTAGGCAAATATCAATTATGAAGAGCATACACCACACAGCAGTAGCCATGCTGGTGGATTGCTTCTGAAGGAAAGTATCAATAAAGTATTACTGCATTTGCTTCCTTCCGTTTACATTATCTTATTGATTCTCAATCAAATAATAATTTGAGATAATAAAATTACAATGGGCATTAGATAATGATGGCACACAAAAAAATACCAAAGATTTATTTGATTAAGGGATATACTTACATGTTATGTGTACTTAATGTTATTAAGACGTTCAACATTTATGATCCGATTGTATACATAAAGGAATCTAAATATTATGTGTACGAGAATTGTAAATGAGACAAACTAATTGAATATTATAATAATTTCTTATTTAAAAATATCTTAAATAAACATATTTCTGGAATAAACATAATAAAAAAATGTTAATTTCGTGGCCGTCCTCTGTTGCCGCCCAACCACTGTTTGGCTTCTTGTCCAGGTCTAATTCTGAGTTGTGCACTTTTCGAATTAACATCCTTCATAACGAACGGAGAAAAGCCAGCCGTGTAATCATCATCCATCGCATTCGTTTTCATCTTTGCCAATCTTGTCGGTCTTTGATCCGGCATAGGTTGATCTTCAGCGACTTTAGGATTTCTTGAGTGTTTGCCACCTTTTATCGTAGGCATGCTGTACTTCTTTCCTTTGCAAGTCAGCGGTCTGCGTGCGTTAATATGAATTTGCTGTTTGCCGTTCTCATCCACAGAACAAGAAACCCTCTTTAAAGTGTTATTACCGCACTTTGGACAAAACTTTTTCGTCATGATGCTCGTCGTATTAAAGCACGTGTAACAACGCAGGATGTACGTTTTAAGTTGTTTAATCATTCTGCCATCTAAAGCTGAAACATTCAGATTCATTTGTCTCAGCACATTTTGCATAGCAAAATCCGTTGTCATACAAGCGACCTTTACATGTTTTTCGTCCATAAACTCTGACCGAATCGACTTTTTAGCCATCTGTACATTAGAAGGAGTTATCCAAGAATCATCATCATCTGATTCATTTTCTTCTTCATCTGATTTGCTTTCATCTTCTTCAGACTCATATTCATCCTTACTTTCAACAACTTGCAAAATATTATCATTGTCATTCACTTCCAAATCGTTGCAATTTAAAGTTTTAAATTTTTCTTTCAGTTCTTCATCAACTGTTCCTGTTTCTGAATTTTTCACTTCATCTAGAACTTCATTGGTTACTTCCTTCGGATTTTCTGCAGATAGTATTTTGTTTTCTTGTCCAGGAACATAAAATCCAGCAATATCCTCTTTTAGATCAATTTTCTGTTTGGTTGTTGTTATTTTAATTGTTCTCTGATGGATTGGCTCTTGCCTCAAGTGGTCTGTCCCTACCAATTCTTTCTCCATTTGATATGCAAGAGCAATTACTTTAATGTCTGTACCAGACAGACATTGGAAATCACCAGTCTTCTTTGCAAAGTCAGCAACAACTCTTATATTCTCTGGATACACATTCTTGACTTCTAATTCATAAGGTAGCACACATAGTCTTCGAAGCTGTCTTTTGTTTGTAATTTCACTGACAACTTCTTCCACTGTGTACATTTTTTTAGCGACATCCTGTAAAAATTTAATTTTACTATAGTTTTAACTAAATAAATATATTTTGGGTACATACTTGTAAGGGTGCATTTTGGATGAAGGCTGTAGTATCTACAACCAAGTGTTCCACTTGTTTTTCAGCACTATCTAAAACCATTTTGCACTTTTACATGTGTAAACCACATGGAACAAACGTCAAAATAGAATGAAAAATGGTTAATATGGTTTAACCTTTAGAGACTTTATTTTTGTCAATTACTGTACTTCTATTTTGTTGGCAGCAATGAAACTTAAGTAAGGTTGATTTTTAATAGAAGGGGCGGTAGGAATTGTAGAGTTTTGTGTGTTTTCATGTTTGGCAACACTGATTTCAATAATGGCGATAGTTGCCCGAGGTCTGTTGTCAAAAATTGTATAAATATATTGTTTGCGAAACTATGATGAAATTTCCAACTGTTTTCTACAAGTTAATACTATCATATGTTTTTCGGTGCAACTGTGATCAAAGTATTGGTGAGTAGCTTCCAAGAAGCTGACCATACATTTTAACATTTTTATTGACGTCACTTGATGTACTCAAATTAAATGATTATTATTAATTCCAAAATAGTTTATAAAAAGAAAAACAAACAGATCTGTATATAAATATGCTAATAGAATTGTATGTTTTAACGTTATTTAAATATGATTTGTGTGTTGATATTAATTACATATTGATTTGTGAAATTATTCATGTTACAATCCTATTTGACTATTTCTTATTGATTCTCTATGATTTTTGTACATACGCAATTTTATATAAGCACAATTTATTCTTAAAAGTTTTTATTTTCAGTTGCAACACTGTTTAGAAATTGAATTCATATCAATGCAATAAGAATTAGATTTATATCCAATTGTGAAGTCAAGTGAAAACAAGTATACAAGAAAAGAAAACATTGTGTTTAATTAATTGATATTGTTGTGAGCAAAAATGGTTTTGCTATTTTAATGATATTTCACAATCTGTTGCAATGCAAAATAATAATTAGATAAAAAAAAGCAAGATTAATGAGCCTATGAAAGCAAATGTAATAGCTTTGAATATCAGTTATGCTTCTGCCCAATTAGTGTTGATGTATTTAATACATAGTGCAATTATTTACGCGCATTTAAATGGAGATTTATAATTTGATATGGTGTAAAAACACAGATTTTCACTTTCATTTAATTCCAAGTAGAAAATTATCATATCCTATTGTTTTGTTGAAATTTAATATTCTCATTGTGTACACTCATGATAAAGATTGTATATTTGTTTTTATCTTATCACTATATTTGTATTAGCATTTTTTGGTTGTGCTTTTAGGTAATCCTAATGATTGGTGAGTGACTTGAATAAAATAAAATGGCTTGTTGCCCTGAGCTGTTACCAGAGCAGGGATATCATCAACTTAATGTGACTAGTAAGTGTTAGCAAATAGTGATTTGCATTTTAACGTGAAAGATAATTCACATTTGCATTCTGTTTCAGTCGAGTGTGCTCATTTACGCAACAGCGGTATTCTGAAGCCTAGTCCGTATGTGGAATTAACTATAGATGGGAACAATCCGGTGCGTACGGACATCGTGAAGAATACGTCGCAGCCGAAATGGAACGAGACGTTCACAATTCTCATAATGGCCAGGTCCAAGCTGCATTTCACAGTCTTGGATCACAACAACTTCCGCAAGGATACGACCATTGGCGAGAAACAACTTGATTTGTTCCAACTGCTTATGCACTATAATGGCAAAATCGAGAATTTGGAATTGACCATTGATTTGATGAACGAGAAGCAGAGCGAGACAGGAACCAAGAGCGGCGAATTGATCTGCATGTTAGATGGTTTATTTGTAGAAACTGGACGAAACGGAAACAATATGCCGTTGTCCCAAGCCAATAATGATAGCGGCCAGCAGAGGAGCGTTTTTAATGGTGTTAGGGCTAAGATCAGAACCCAAGGTACTGAGAATGCTGTGCCCCCGGTGGTTCCGCCAAGGCAAGCTATAGAAAGAAGCATTTCACTATCCAGCAGCAATAGTGCTAATAATATTCCACCAATATGTAAGATCCACATCTCTTTTTTCGCACGAACGTACATTTTGAAGGGAAATCCTAAACTCGATCTTTAAAAGTACTAATATTTCAGATTTATTTGATGTATGTACTGACATTGTTACTTATGTTAGTTGGGTCAAAGTGTCGTAAATATCTATTAAAGTACTATAAGTGAGCTCTTACAATTTACACGGCCCTGAGTTAGTTCATTATTCATTCAACCTAGAATATACTTACTTTTAATTATTCTTCAATATACGTGCCACTTTCTTTTTTATTTGTATAAATGAAACTAGCTTTTAATAATTACGCAAGTATTTTCCTTTAAAGTTATCGGTAAAGCAGAAAAATAGGACTTAATTAATGAAGACAATTGGTTGTTTTAATCTGAAGTGGTCGATAATATGTTTTTTGTTAATTTAAGTACAGATCAGGTCAAATCCTGTTTTAACTCATAATGATAGTTAAATGTAAACCGTATTATAGTTTTTGATTTTACGAGATTTTCTTTTTAACTGGCTACAGGTCACGAATTCCTTCAGCCATGAGTATTAAGTGAACGTGTTTAATTGACTGATGAGTCTTTACTGTCAATTACGTCTAAAATGTTAGTAAATTCACGAGTTATTTGAAATCTGGCAAGAATATAGGTTAGGATGATTATTTAATTGTAAATGTGTTTAATCCGTTAGGCGGACCTCCCTTGGGAGCTCCCTCGTTACCGATGGCAAATGGAACGGCGAATCCACAGGTAGAACCGGCTCAAACAAATGGGGTGTCTCCATCAACTGAGGAAGCCTTGCCGGCTGGTTGGGAAATGCGTTTCGATACATATGGAAGACGTTATTATGTAGACCATAACACAAGATCAACATCATGGGAGAGGCCGCAACCTCTTCCTGTTGGATGGGAGATGCGTCGAGACAATCGCGGTAGAATCTACTACGTCGATCACAATACTAGAACTACCACTTGGCAAAGACCTAACACAGAAAGATTGCAGCACTATCAACAATGGCAAGGACAGAGGCAGCATATTGTGCAGCAAGGTACTTGATATTATTTGCGTTTGCCAGCTGAAGGGAATTCATTAAGTTTCTTTATACTAAATTTAGGCAATCAACGATTCCTATACCAACCACAACAACCGGCCATAGCGGGAACCAGTGCTGCAGCTCCAGAAGAAGACGATAGTTTGGGAACTTTACCTTCAGGTTGGGAAAAAAGGGTTCAACCGGAAGGTAATCATGATACTTGGCGTATTTCGTAAGAAAGTAATTACAACATTTTTGTTTGTTTAGGTCGCGTTTATTTTGTTAATCATAAGAACCGAACAACACAATGGGAAGACCCGCGCACCCAAGGACAAGAAATGAATAGTGATGTTGATGACGGCGCTCTTCCTCCTGGTTGGGAAATACGTTACACTGAAGATAATAAGCGATATTTTGTTGACCATAATACAAAAACTACTACTTTTGAAGATCCCAGACCGGGAGCCCCGAAGGGTCCAAAAGGTGTTTACGGTGTACCGCGTAACTATGAACGTTCATTCAGATGGAAAATCGGCCAGTTTAGATACTTGTGTCAAAGCAATTCTTTGCCAAGTCACATCAAAATAACTGTGACCAGACAGACATTGTTCGAAGACTCGTATCACACTATAATGCGTTTGCCTGCTTACGAACTTCGAAGGCGGCTTTATATCATTTTCAAAGGCGAAGAAGGTCTCGATTATGGCGGTGTATCACGCGAATGGTTTTTCCTGCTATCTCACGAAGTGCTCAATCCAATGTACTGCTTATTTGAGTACGCGAACAAAAACAATTACAGCCTTCAGATTAATCCAGCTTCGTACGTTAATCCGGATCATTTAATGTATTTCAAATTTATAGGCAGATTTATTGCTATGGCACTATATCACGGCAGATTTATATATTCTGGATTTACAATGCCTTTCTACAAGAGAATGTTGAATAAGAAATTGGTTATGAAGGACATAGAAAGCATTGATCCAGAGTTTTACAATTCACTTGTTTGGATCAAAGATAATAACATTGATGAATGCGTGCTAGAGTTATATTATAGTGTTGATTTTGAAGTGCTTGGACAAGTGGTGCACCATGAATTAAAGAAAAGTAAATTTTTGATTAAGCGTCAATCTTTCTTTATTAAATTTTTGATATTTTAGGTGGTGATAAGGAGAGAGTTACTGAAGAAAATAAAGAAGAGTACATTACTCTTATGACAGAATGGAGAATGACCAGAGGCATTGAACAGCAGACTAAAGCATTTTTGGAGGGCTTCAATGAAGTAGTCCCACTTGAATGGTTAAAGTATTTCGATGAAAGAGAGCTGGAGTTGTTGCTATGTGGAATGCAAGAAATTGACGTTGAAGATTGGCAAAGACATACTATATACAGGCATTACACAAGAAATAGTAAACAAGTGGTTTGGTTTTGGCAGGTAAATAGAGAAAATAACGATGTGAAATCTTGTTTTTAATAATTTTGTTCTTTAGTTTGTCAAACAAGCAGACAATGAGAAGAGAACGCGTCTCTTGCAGTTTGTAACGGGAACGTGCAGAGTTCCGGTGGGCGGTTTTGGCGAGTTGATGGGTTCGAATGGTCCTCAACGTTTCTGCATTGAAAAAGTAGGAAAAGACACATGGTTGCCGCGATCGCACACTTGTTTCAATCGACTCGACTTACCACCATACAAAAGTTATGATCAATTAGTTGAGAAGTTGAATTACGCAATTGAAGAGACTGACGGATTCGGGCAGGAATAATAAACTGTGCGACTGAATAAAGGGGGGCTGTACCTGATTTGGATATAATCGAAATTGCTGAATTTCTTTGGGCCTAAGATACTTAATTTGCCCTTCAATAAATATATATATATAGAGAAAGAGATCATTAATTTAATAAAAATTTACAGTTTTCTTTCAATTATTTTTGTTTGTAATTTATATTAGTCAATAATGTTTATGTTGCGTGCAATTTTTGCTTATGATATTTGTGATAGTTTAGTTTTATTATGTATTATTCATTCTGTTTTGGCCCACGTAAATTGAATCAGCTGAAATCGTGTAAATAATGCGGAGTATTGATAGTTTGTAAATATTGTCTGTCACGAACCGATTTTTAAAATAATAATAATATATACACTGGTTTTTTTACATTCCATACTATTTAAAATTTGTATTTTGAGTTTACATTTTGTCTTTAAACTGCATATTCTCTCCTAATGATGTATTTTTCTTCTTTTTTTCTTTCTTTTCTTTTTGTTTGTTTATTTATTGAATAGCAAAACACCAAAGCGAAATTTTTCATTTGTATTTATATGTTAATAATAAACGCTAGTATGGGCTAACTGTATAAAGTTTATGATGCTTAGTGTAGTGTAGTAAATATAGATTTCAAAATTGAATAATTTATAACGTTTATCTAATGTTATTTTCAATCATGTATATAGTTCACAATTAATATATTATATAATATTATTATTATTATACGCTAATAGATTTTGAAATTAGTTGAAGCGCAATATGTTTTATAATCTTACAATGATGACACAATAAAATTGTCATTTTTATGACAAATTATTTTCCTTTCTCATTCGTATGTCTCATTTTATTTGCCACAAAACACAACAACTTCTGAACTACTTCATTTATTAAATTACTATCTTTTTTAAAACGTTTTTGTCAATAGTAGTTATTTATCATTCTATAGTAATTCATACCCTCATTAATTGGGTAAACTATGGAACTACAAAAAATGGATAAAAACTCTTTGGAAATAAAAGTCAGATTTAAAGGTGCAATTAATTTTTAATGTAAATTACAGATTATTAGTCTATGTATACCTTACTTATAAGAATTTGGCGAAAAGGCAAAAGTTTATGGGAACGTTAAATTGTTTTATTTTAACGTTTAATTATTTATTTGACAGATATTTCTAACATTCAGAGCATTTGATAAATTGATTGAAAAGTTAAACATTTCAAGATACATATATAATATCATATATTGTAACAGTGTATTTTAATGTATGTACGCTATATAAAAAAATAATTAATTAGCTTACATATAATAGTAGATACTTAGAATATAACACAGCTCGTAGGAAAAATAATTATAACATATGTACAAAATTTAATTAAAATAAATGAAAGCATTGATCTACAGCGATATATTATATCTCCTTCGTACACTATTCATTCAACTTTATCATTTTTATAACAGAGAACGACGTTTCATACATATAATACCGGATTTATGCGCGAATTTAGCTTTTAAAATTAATATCGGTTTTACAAATATCTATGATATATTCAACTATATAGAGGAATTCATCACTCTAAACTTTATAGTTCATTCATTGGTTATACCGAAAGTAAACAATTGCCTATAATTTCCATACCATTTGGTTTTATCTATTATATTCATATTTCTTATTCGTACAATCAATACAGAACCTCTGTACCATAAGAATACAATTAAAACTAATTGCAGCCCGACCACTTTACTTTTAAAATAACAGTACAAATAAATATGTAATAAAAAAATATATTTACAATTAACAAATAATTAAAAAAAAAAAATGATGATGAAAAAGAAAGAAAAGTTTACGCTAGATCGTCCTTGCCCCTAAACGGTCTCGTATTCAAAGAACCGGAATAGGTGACAGTGACAACATCGCGCTTAAGTGACTGTAAAGTAGGGGCGTTCGGGTTTAGCTACCAAACCCGATTTTCCGTCTGCGGAGCCCTCATAACACCGACTCCGCCTCCCAATCTTCGGTAATTCATCGCTCCGCACAATCGCCACTGATTCTGTTCAGTGTCATATACCTCTATTGTCTTCAAATAAGCAGTGCCATCGAAACCGCCGACTGCATACAGTTGACCATTAACGACAGCTAGTCCAACCTAAAAGACGATCTATTATTAGTACATTGTAAATAATTTGCTTCGATAAACTTACTCCACTTCTTCTAGAAGTCATTGCAACAATTGGACTCCAGCTATTCGTATGAGGATTATAACGTTCAGCGCTGCTTAACTCCATGCAGTCGTCTCTACCTCCTACTGCGTATATAAGATTATTGAAGACTGCACACCCTAAATGCTTCCTTCTCGTGGACATCGGAGCAACCGGTGACCATTTATTACTTCTTGGATCATAACGCTCCACCGTATTGAGAGGCGATTGACCGTCAGATCCACCAATGGCATATAGGTAACCACCTAGAACAGCTACAGCCACACCCAAACGTCTGGTTGTCATTGGTGCAACTTTGCTCCATTTATTTTCCTTTGGATCGTATCTGAATAATAAAATATTTAATATTATTCAACTATATACACAAAATTAACTCAAATATCACCTCTCTACATGATTAAGACATTGAACGCCATCTTGACCTCCAACCGCATAAAGCAAATTATCTAAAACAGCAACACCAACGCTGGTTCTGCACGAAGTAGTTGGAGCTACATCACAAGACCATTGATCTGTTTGTGGATCGTATCTACAAAAATAATAACAATTAATATTGTTTTATTACAGTATATAATATATACCTTTCAATGCTATTTAAATAGCTTTGTCCGTCGTGCCCGCCAACGGCGTACAGGAGATCATTAAGAACAGCAACACCAACTCCGCAGCGTCTTTTGCTCATAGGTGCAACCATTTTCCACTCCATGGTCTGTGGATCGAATTTTTCTACGGAAGCAATAGCATCACCACTGCACCAGCCGCCGACAGCAAATAGAACTTCTCCTTAAATAAATATGGTTCAAACCCATGTCACAACTAGTAATCTATAATGAATACCTCGCCTCGTCGGTTTCCTGGGTCGCGTTCGCGGACCTTGCATCAAAGGTCGTTCTTGCGGTAAAAGTAAATAGTTTTTGGCTTCATCCACAAGATCGCGACAGGAATCGTCTGACCGTACTAATAGATCAGACCCAACTGTACCTACTAAAAACTTGGGACTCAACAGTGGAAGTCTAACGTGTTGAAGGACCTGCGGTAAATGCTGCCTTCTATCGGAAACATTATACTTAACCCAGGACATAACAGCGTTAAAGACTTGTTCCTCTGTACGAACATTCAGTTCATCACTTGATATTATATCAACTAACTGTCCAACTGGCAACAGAAGAAACTCCTCACTTTCCATTACTTCCTGGAAATTATGTTGCGTAAACTTATCGGCGATACGTAATAACTCGCGACACGAATGTGTATCAGCAAAAGCTCTGATCCCTAAGCAGTTAGATGGATCGAGTTGGCGTTTCAGAAACTCGCAACATATGTCTTGTATTTCGGTTAATTGAAGCAGACATGCTGCAGGTAAAAGTGTTTGTACATTTGATTCTTCAACCACAATATGCGAGGTGTAGCAAAAGTCTATCAGCAGGTCCATTGCCAATTCATCAATGTCGCGAATTGTTACTTCAGTCTGACGGGATTCAGCTAATTCACCAGTAAACATTGCCCTGTAAAATAATGCATAATATAATTTTATATTTTAATAAAAGTTTTATAACTTACCTGAAGTATGGACTGCATGCACTAAGTATAACCCGATGAGCAAATATTTTTCTTGTACCAACATTGAGGACAACATCACATAATTCTCTATGTCTTCTCAATAGATTTAATTCAGTCAACGTATTCTTGGGATGCTTGTCTGAAGTGTGTGAGAGCCTCGCCGGCGAGGGGGGCCTCTCACCAACTTCACCACCCATTCTGCAAGGCCCCCCTCTGAGACTACTAGTTAGCTGCAGCCTTAAGGGCGGCGAAGCCCAACCCCACACAGTGTCAATCTAAAACAATATATTTATTAGCAAATTGAATCAATATATTCTATTTATATTCCAGTAATTTCTTACTCAATTGTTACTAAAGACTATAAGTAAGAAGTATGGCACTTTGCCATAATTATTACTTCACTTTTGTTACACCATTATATGTTAATGATGTCTTGAACTATACGTTGCAAAACAAATTACTTAAGTAACACTTAATAAACTTTTCTATATAAAATTCACATAATGTTACAGATTAAAAAATACATATTTATAATTTTAAGAATATAAATATACGTGTGATGCATTATAATTGTTTACAAATAAATAAAACAAATAAATAGTAGTATTTACCTTTACTGATTTTAGAAACCTAAGCCTCCAAATGCACCCTTAGTAGCAATTAAATCACAACCACTGTTCACTTTATACTTATACAAATCATTGCACAAACTCAATCAGTATTGTTTTTAACTCGGTTTAGTACAATTATGTGATTTCCAGTGAAATAACTGTATCCATATATTTTTAATGACAGCTCCGTGACATATTGAACATATGTCAACTTTCTCTTGAAGTTAGTCAAATATTGATATTCACTGAGGTAGTTTATTTAATAAAATTAACAAGTTTTGTTGTATGATTTCTTTAATTCATGTAATATTCAATCAAATTGTGATCATTGTAATATTATGCCCCATTGTTTAGAAAATATTTATTAGGTTGGCAAAATTTGTTGATTTCTTGTAACAGTTTATTATATATATATATATCTATTTTCATGTTAGTGTTGGTTAGTGGAATTGTGTGTTGATAAAATGGCCCCTAGAAGAAGTGTCCGATCTGTGAAAAGTGTAAATAATGTAAACTACTCGAATATAACGTTAGGTGATGTACTTTGTCCAATATGCAGATGTATTTTAATACAACCAGTTACATTACCGTGTAGTCATGACTATTGTTTACCGTGTTTCGAAGGCACCTTGGCCAATGCGAATCTCACTTGTCCTTTATGTAGAATACGTTTCGGTTCCTGGCACAGAATTGCCAAAAAGGATAACAAAATTGTTAACGAAAAACTCTGGGATGTTCTTCAGCAGAAGTTTGCCGATCACGTTCAGAACCGTTTACGTGGGGTTGAGGAAAACCTAGAGGAAGGTACGTCTCTTTGCGCTAGACATACATCAATCAAAATATAACCTTAAAGTTTAAAATGTCAACATAACAAAAGTATTAAAGTCTATTATGAAAAGTAAACATATTTATAATGAAAATTGTTATCGAAACTGTTGTTCATACATATTTTTGTTATTGCTGTTTAGATGCTCCGATACATCTTACAACACCAGGTGAGATTAGGAAAGAATATGAAGCACAAAAGAGACAACAACAGCTGGAAATGCAAAAAACTAAAGAGATTCAAGAGAAGGCTAGTGTGGATCTTATAATGAAACTCAAAGAGCAGGAAGAACATGAAGAGAACTCAAGAAAAGAAAAACTTAGATTAGATGAGCAGGTAGCAAGACAAATTGCAAAAGATATGGGTTTTGTTGCAGAAACATCCTCCAAAAGTGAGGATATTAAGAAGAGGCTACGTCCATTAGATAAGTTTATTAAAAAAGGATCTGACTCGGACAAAAATTCAGTGGCACCAACAGTTTTAAAGAACATTTTCTCAACAAAAGTCACTTCCATCAAACAGAAGATGAATTTCACTGTTGAAGTTTCAGACAGTAATGACTCAATTGAAAATGAATGCAAATACTTTAAACCTATTGATCATAGAAACATTCCCCCATCGCAATTTGTTACAATTGTTAAAGTGCCAGCTCGTTTTGAGAAAACAAATCCAGGACCTATTAAGTAAGTACCTGTTATTCTCTAAATTGCATTGTGTTTATGATTTTTTTTAATTTTTATAGAGCACCAAGTGGCAATAGTTTATTAGCATTTGGTTGCAATGGTTCAGCATTTGCAAGGTTTGAAACTGTATCTCCAATTCTTCCACCAACAATAACAAGTCCAAATATGCGTCTCAGAAAGAGGAAGCGGATAGCGGAGCCGGAAAAACCAAGCAAAGCATTGAAGATTCCTAAAGTTGCGCAACATGCGCCCAAACGTAGGCCGAGTATTAAAGACTTGTGTTGTAAAGTGGAACCGCCTAAAAGAACTAAAATGACATTAAGGGATCGGAAAATATCCGGATCACCGTTTCGTGGATTCGATGCCAGCGAGATGAATTTGAATGGCCTGAAGAGTACGGAGACGAAGGAGGTGCAGATGAAGAAGGATTTGGAGTATGCGAAGAAATTACAGGAACAATTTAATAAGGAAAGGTATTCGACGCGCAGCAGTATTACTTGCGGTAATAATATCAGGAAGCAAAGGCAACTTACAATTACTGAGATCATGAGCACATCAAAATGCAAGTAATAGATGAAGTCTTTCCAATCAGCAATTAGAACTTGGGGAAAAATTAATACCTGTGTGTCATTGCTGTTTTTATTTTTGGGATACAAATGTGAATCGACTACAATATATTGTACATGATTGTAAGTACCTTTGGTTATTTTTATCTGGATAAATTGAACTATATATATATATATAAAATGAACTGCGATAACAAACATAATTTAATACCTCAATGTATGTTTCATTCAATTGCAATTAGTTTTTTGGCGAGATCTATTTATTAAAATTATGCAATTGATAAGAGACTTCGTACTAAGTGGAAGTAACATTCAATGATTAGATTGCTACTTTAAAATTTATTATGTATATACGTTTGATTACCTAAAGTAATATTTGATTTAATGTAAGAAAACTCTCGGAGGGGGGGTTGTGTAAACTAATAACTTTTCTGTCTCAAAATCCATCGAATTGTCGATATTCATATAATGGTTCAATAATTCAAATTTGTGATAAAACACTAATATTCCTAGAATATCTTATGTTATTGAATTGTTTCTTTAGTTTTACTTTTATATATTTAATTTATGTATTTATATATACTTTACTTTAATACATTATATATATTAATTTTTCTTGAAGAAAACCAATAATAGTAACAACTGTAATAGCTAGAAGCTCTATACTGTTAAGGTATGAAAGGAATATTTTTATATAAGTAAAGATATCCAACAACCAAAAAAAAAAAGTAAATAAAAATATAAACAGTGCATATATTGTACATATAAGGAAAAAAACATACTAAGCGTGATTTCAGTTTTATATTTACTATTTTTTTACGCATTTTGTAAATACTTGTACATTTGTAATTGAACAAGAAGCAAGCAAATTTTTTTTTAAACATTCGCTGTGATTTAATTAGTTATACTTTAATAGATATATTGAGCAGAAACACACATTAAAAGAAACTTGTATTTTTTGTTAAAAAAATGAAAGAAAATAAAATTCCATGTTATATATATTCACAGCATTTTTATTAATCATCTAAAGACACATATTTAATCCTTTAGTTTTTCTTCTCGGGCTGCAATAAACAAACAAATAAATTAGATTTAAATACAACATATTTTCGTTATGAGTATTTTTTTTTATAAATCACATCGGTGAACATATTTCGGATACATCTGGGTAAGTATAGGAACGGAACTATATTACATACATACCGTAACACACTACTTTGTTAGTTCAGAGGACGTACGTTATGAAAGATACGGCAATTTAGGAGTGTTCCGCATGACACGTACAATGGGGATCAGGTTTAATCATTTCACAAGTGGACTCAGGGGAGGGTTGTTCTTCTTCTTGATTTTTACAAAGGATTGTACCGCTGGTGGGACAACGACAGGATCGTTTGAAAGGTGGGCCTTCGCCTTTATTTATACCTTCGACTTCGACGTCTACGGCTTTTATCTGTTTATCTACACTCACCTCGCCATCTGAAACAATCGAATTTTTAGCGGATTTTCCTAGATCGACAACCATCGTCCATGCTTCAGAAACACTTCCAGGCATTTTTGGCAATGACGGAAGTTCAACTTGTGGATCGCCTTTCTTTACTAAAATTTGCATTTTTGCATGTACACATTAACATGATTATTTTAAACATAATCTTTTGAGAAATAGCTTGAACAAAAAAAAAAGAAGAGAATTCTTACCGCCATAGATGAAATTGTACAAAATGTGTGAATATTTGCGAGTTTCTTCAATGCCAATCTCAGAGTAATAAGCAGCTTCTTTGGGGAAGCATAGAGAGGCCATACCCAAAGCACCAGCACTGGTAAATATCAGTTTCCTGAAGAATCCACCTCTCAAAGCAATAATGTAACCAGCAAGACCACCGATAGCAATAGCTGGATATTTGGGTGTCATGTTATCCTCTTCACCCAAATAGTTAATGAGCCCTTAAATGCAGAATAACATAAGTATAAAGGTTCTGATTCTAATAAATCAGGCAACTTACAACCGGCTTGTTCCACACCGTCATTGTAATAATTAATACCCATGTCTTCAACTACTTGCACCTGATGAGATAGGTGTCTGATCTGCTTGCGGACAACACCAATGGATGTTTCCAAATAACCTGCTTCGTGATGCTCATGTTTATGGGCTTTGGAAACAATCTCCTGCTTCTCGGAATCAGGTACATATATTGGTAATTCCGTTCTCTTGCAACATTTATAGTCCGGAGCTTCTGATGTCATAACAGCAGCAGCTGGGATTAAAACTCTTGTTAAGACCTGAAAATAGTTATGATATCAATATAATTGTATGAATAGCTATATTTCAGAAGGAGATTCCAATAACGGTACGCATTTGTTACCTGTCTTGCCATTGCAATTATCAATTAGTGGACAATTTATGTATAAACCAATATTTAGACTAGGTTAACCTTAAAATTACATAAATTGACAGATAATTTCACCGAAAATTATGAATGTCAGACATTTTTCCGAGAAAGAGCATGCGTGTGTACGAAAGAAACTTGAGCGCCAGTTTCAAATATGAATTATTGCAGCAATATACATTCTCACCTTATAAAGCTTTCTTCCCATCTTTAGTTTGTTATTTTCTATACACTTATTGAATTTTCTTTAGATATTTTTTTTCTGTGAGGCAATCCGTAGTTAATATTAAAACAATTGAAGCGTTCGTTGATTCAAGCTAACCATAATCATATTAAAATGTTGTCATATTTCATGAATGAAAATCAATATTTTTCTTTCAGATTCTACCATCATTTCCATTGCAATTAAAATTTACAATACTATATCCTAGTTTTCCCATATTTCATGTATGAATATTTACAACATGGAAATACGTAATATAATATACTTCAAATAATATATTTTGTATATGCCAAAACTCTACATTTCAGATTTTACATAATAATTAATATAATTATACAAATTTAATTAATCTTATTTTTTATTAGAAACTATAACAAGAATTTTGAAAGGAATACGTTCTCCAAGGAAACACGTGCTGGCCAAATATCGGTCTCGCAGATCCATTGGCATACGGAGGGATGAGAAATCTTTTGAAAAACTGCAAAATCAACGAAACACGTTTAAATCTATAAAAGGAAACCTTCCGAACGATCATTTACCTTTATCCACGATAGTCCCAGATTCAGTTTGTTGTTCGACGTGGGCATCATACTTATGAAACTCTTCGCGGTTCGTGCGACGTCTACAGATTTCAATAACCACTGTGAAGATGCCATTGCAGGCAGTGGTTTATAGACGATTAAAAAGTATATGTATAAAAGTGTTACTGAAAAATTTTGAATTTTCTTGTCAATGTTTCTATTTGCGAAAAATATTTACCTGTTGCTTAGTTAAATAAAAATAACTGCAGTGATGTATTACATCTAGTTTCCTAGCAATATGCAATTTTTTTTTTGACAATTGAGAAGTCTGGTATAATTTGTACGGCACTCTGGAGGACAGAGAAGATTGATGGAATACGAAGATTAAACTTTATAAATATTCATAAAATATGTACAATGAAGAATATGCTAATGCATTCAGACTCGTCATAAGTATAAATTGGATACGAAATGATCTTTAAGGGAATATTTTATTTTTCAATCATGTATAGTTCATACATAGTTAGTTAATAGTTGTATATGGTTAGCAGTTATTTGTTCTCACAGCATTCACATTTACATTTGCAAACACAGGGTTCTTTAGCAGGAAGATGGCATCGTGCTGGACACGACCTGCTGGCATTGTACCTGGCGTACGCAGGAACTAAAAGTTTTCTGAAAAACTGAGATTTCAACGTGCTATAACACTATATAAAAAAAACAGATATTCTGTGCAGTACCATAATCCAGGTGATGCCAATATCCGCGCAAATTCCTGGATGAAATTCGATGGGATCGATAACAACGCTATCTTCCTGTGTTTCTTCGGCAAAGTGTTCACCGATTAAATTGAAAAAAAAAGAAAATACCATCGCAGAGAATTTGGAAGAGAAAATGAAATGATCCTCGATACGTCACATCGATTTTGACTGCTAATTTGTCAATTTATGTAGGGGAACAATCACGAAGCGCGAGAAATGAACGTTTTCGAGTTTTATTTACTTATTTATGTACAGAAAAAAAAGGAGACAGTTTACGTTACGTAATTTATTTAATTCTAGAATTAAGCGGATTCACTATTTTGCCTGCCATAAGATTAACGTGGAGCTGCGAGTCCATAACGAAGTAGAGGAATGGGTGATCCGCTCGGAATTCCACAGGTCTAAATTCATGCAACTTCCCTGCAAAAGAAAAACGAAACGAGAACAATGCAATATATTAAGTGGCGACACACAGACACATTTAAGCCATTTATTTTGTCATTATATAAACCGGAGAAATAGTGGTATTGTTAAAATACTTAATTACTTGGGGTTTTGTTTTTCTTCCTTCTTATTTTATTTTTTTCGTAAGCATTTTTGTTCTAAACTTTTAGAGATTTCGTTATTCGACACAAGATAATTAAAGCTGGAAACAATTATTCTGTGAATTCGCGTGAGCGTCAGTTTCCTTTGTGTGTAAGATCACTTCACATAGGGTTTGTTAACTATTATTGAACTTTTCTTTTTTTGCCTGCAAGGTTCATTAAATTGTTTAATCACTATGTAACACGTAAGGTTCGCACTCCGTTGAACAAGCAAACTGAATGCCTTTAAAAATATATATATAATTTTATTGAGTTAAATTTAAAAGTTACTCACTGGCTCCGTTCGGATTATCCATGTAATTTCTTATTGTCACAGTTACCGCTTGCTCTATGTTCGTCACATAAATGTTACGGTCTTTAGTCAGCAAACTGAAATCGGCATGCCTAGGCTCGAAAATCTTCCGTACTCCTAACTGGAGATCAAATCATATTAATATTAAGTTAAAAATTGAAGCTTGTGAAATACCTTTTGGAGCGTAGGCGTTAGTACGACATATCCTTTGAGCATGAAGCTAGGTATTATAGCTTTGACGTGAGTGTACTTCAGACTCTCGATGACGTTCTTGAGACTCGTGAATTTCCTGAATTTATATATGAGCTTGTCGATACCGTCGTCTTCGACTGGCAGAACGAGCAGCAGGTAATACATATTACTGTCCAATGGGAAACTCAGAGCCATTGCGTCCAGTTCTGGAAGGTATCTGAAGGGCAGTACGGTGTCGTAGGTCATGAAGCTAATGTTCGGTTCCCGGATGTTTCCATTTACTAGGAAAGTGTGAGGAAGTTCGGGTTGGTAGGAAGAATAGTGCGGTCGTGGCACATATTTCCTATCGTTGTTCACTTGATACGTATCGTAATAGCGAGCTATTATGTAATCAATGACGGAACGAGTGCCTCTCGATCTTTTCGTTGAATTTATGACTTCCGGTCTAATGTACGCTGAGATTGTGGCGAAAAAATCGGATTCCCGTTTATTTCGCTCCGTGGTTTCGCTTACACCAATCTCAGTCGACTGACTGGAAGACTCTTCATAATCAGTGTCTTCAGATACTGAAGCGTGGCTGAGTGTGTAATAATCCATCTTTAAATCGGTGCCGCTGAACGCGGTGCTATATGGAAACTCCGATGTCATATAATCGTACTCGTAATTATCCTCACTCACAGCATCAAGTTGACTTGATTCCGTACTACCAATAGCATATGGAGACGGCGCTGACTCGGTCACATCATCTTGCCTAGTTGGTCTATTCTGCAAATCCATATCATTTAAAATCAAATCTGTATCAAGTTTCTTCTTAGTAAACTCAGTCGTTACAATCGTCGTCTGCTCAATGTTATTCACTGTCGTTTTATCATTAGAAGGATTTGGAGTTAAATCCGTAGCAGCAGCAGTTTCTGTAGTCACTATAGTTGTTTGTTCAATTTCGTTAGTTATATTTTTTTCAGTGAAATAGTTTTCTGTAATAATTTCTTTCTGCTGTTCTGTTGTTACATCTGCTAAATTAGTTGATGTTGCTTTCATCACATCCTGACCATTCACATCAGTAATTATATCATTATTTGATGTGGTTGTAGCATCTAAATTTAATAATGTCATCGTAGTCTCTTTAATATTAACTGTGATCTTTGATTCGGTTGTAGCTAGATCCTCGTCTTCATCTGAATCGAAAAACATCGTGCTCAGCAAATCGAATTTCGTCGGATTCGCATTTGTAGTTGAACCACCATTAGCATTAAATGTACTCGTTACGAATTTATTCTGAGTAGAGTATGAGCTCTCTGCTTCAGTAAATTCTTCCTTAACTACATCTTTTACATCCGTATATTTTTCCATTCGACCTGTCGATGAACTAATGGTAGTGGTAGTTACATCATCTTCTACAGTCGTACCTTCCGTTTTTTCTGACTTAGTCGTACCAATATCATTCTCAGTTGTTATTTGTATTGTAGTATCTTCAACTTTGGTATATTTCTGTTTTGGATCTACAGTTGATTTTAATGTTGTAATAACATCATTTGCTTGCGTAGAACTTTGTGCATCAGTTGTAGTTTCTTGAGTTGTCGATGATTCTTTAATGTCATCAGTTGACGATTTTATAGTTGTGCTAATATCATCCATCCTTGTAGTTCTTTCAACGTTTTCAGTATTTGCAGTTTCCTGCTTAAACGTAGTACTAGTTATTTCAGTGACAGTTGTCGGTTCAGCTTTCATCGTAATAGTTGTAGTTGGAACAGTGGTAGTAGTATCTATTTTTTCAGTAATTTCTTGCGTGGTTGCTGGGATTGTCGTAGTTTCAAGCATATCAGTTGTTGTTGTTTTATCTTTGGTTGTAGTGGTTGCGATCGGTGTGGTCGTTTCAGGATAGGCCGGATTATTGAAAGATTCTAAATCGTAGCCGTAGAATCTAAGGATCTCTTCGTAATCCCTTCTCAATGTAATGTTCTCGTGATTCAAAGTTAGACCTGCGAGAAAACCTTCCTTCGGTATGAAGTAACTCTTTAAGCGCATAACAATAATATTAGCAATATATTAAAATTTCACAGATTATGTTACCTTTAGATGTCGATGTATATCTCTTAGACCTACCCGCATAACAGCGTAATCGTGCGGAAGGTCTGCAGCATATATGATTTCTTGTGCCGCGTTCCCAGTAACTCCTTCGAGAAGCGCCACAAGAACTGTGGTTGCTCCGTACGGTGATATTGCGATGTTATTGTGATTCTGCTCGTTGTGTACCTAAATTATCATATTTGTAATTATAAATGTATCGAGTTCTGATAGTCAGGACAAATTTGAAGCGAAATATTCTTCGATTGGATTGATTGGACAGCGATAAGCTATGATAATTGCGGACGTTTCTAAATTTAAACGCCATCGATCCGTTGCCATCAACATGGAAAAGTCGGTACAATGAAATAGGTATGAATCGATAATTCCATATTTATTATTGAAGCCGCATATTAAACAAACAGTGAAATATTGTAAGTATGTCGTGATCTAGGGCACAAATTATGCTGTCAATAATAGGGATCATAATTTATAAACACCCAGTATGTTGTGCGTGAAATTAGTTCGACAAACCTATGATTAACTGAAGGAGAAGGTAGCAAATGTGTACACGAATCTATTAACTAGTATTTGAGTACCAGTTTTAGAAGAACTTATTATTATGCTGGTTATTAATATTTTCCTAGCAGTTATTCATTTGCAACATATTAAGAAACTTCTGTTTGTAAATATAAGAGTTATTTCGTTTATGATTTTGTTAGATTTTGTGAGAAATATTTAAAATAATTATTAAATTTCAGAATTACACAAATTCACAAATCAATTATTACTAAATATAACTAATTGTTTTTTCAACAAAAAAGTAAGGTGAAGATTATATAACTCGATAGTAAAAATAATGGTAACATTAATTTATATTTCCATTGATTTGGTTTGAAATATGTTCATTGCTTTCGCATATTTGTTATCATTACGAGAAGTCTCAATGGGAAAGATACAATGGATCATAAATGCAGTTTCGCGTATGCAGCGTAATAAAGAGTAATAGTCGTGCATCGCATCGACCGTTTTTCGTCCGTACCTATAAATAATGAGGAGACAATCATTTTTTTTATATACATGTAAAATTTCTGTTAAATTACAGTTATTTCGCGTAACCTTTTACAAAATTTATAGAAATTGCCCATTTCCTACGATCAAAAACAGTATCATTACTTTTGTATTACTTTTTTTTTAACAATAGCCCCCATGGCCATATGCAACGTTTAGTTTTATTCAAATACTAATTTCTGAAACATTCAATAATATATGATAATATAAATACATTTTCTTTATTTATTTCAATACATTTCAAATAATATTACTTGTTTAGTTCTACTTAGATTGTGATTAGGTACTTACTTACTACTTAGTTGCAATACTTATTAAATTTCGATCAACTAATTCGGTTAATATTTACTAAAAAAACATTAAAAATAAAAGATTTATCTTGAGTCGTTTCTGCTCTTCTGAACTTAATTGCAACCATTGTTGTTCGTTACCCTGACTATGATATATTCAATTATTCAGCTAAATTGCTTCCTGGATTTGCAATTACTTGAATAAATAAATTTAATAAAAAAAACGCAGTGTGCTTTGTTGATTTATGTATTTAAAATAATGGTGCTAATTGATGTTATTGAAAATAATGTGGATGAAAGTTATTATGATAGAAGGATGAAAAATAGTTGCGATCTTACTTCTAATAAGGCTAATCCCAAATTGTTGATAACATCCACCATAACTTCAGAGGGTAAAGGCTTCTTGTAATGATAATCGTCCCATCCATGGTGCGCCGAAGAAGTGCATGTTGCGGCCAAAGTAGTCAAGATGATGAGAATTCGCGCTCCTCCTGCTGACATGATGTAGCCGGCTTCGCGGTAAAAGAAACACTGAAGAACATCAAGGTGTTAATGCCGTGAATTAGCCTGAGGTCTAGACGATACTACGAAAAATTACATATAATAAACCTACGTGCGGCGCTCGCGTTTTTTTTTTTCCTTCTTCTTCTACACTATATATATATATATGTGTATGTGTGCGTTAACCCGTTTTGTTCTTCAGTTTTCCGTTCGGCTCTTTTTTATGTTTTTATTCATTTTTTTTGCCGCGGCTTTTGTCACCGCCTTCCCTTTGAAAAATTCAATTTGATTACGAGACCGACCGTTGCGGCGGCGGGGGAAGGCAAAACTCGTATATTGAACCGCTGAAGCTCGATATTATCTGTATTGCGACATTGGTCCCTTCATTGTTTATTTATATCGAACGGAATTGGATACCAGTTCGTGCCACTGGAAATTAACTGGACGTCTTATTAAATATTGAAATTACACAATGAAACCGAGCCCACCCTGTACAGAATTTCTTCTCTACATGTACAAATATATTATTGAGATATTGTTATTAGAAATTTAAAGGAACTTTTATTGCGATCATTGGTGGTAACAACCGCATTGAATCGTACTGTTTCATTGACACATTTTAAGAAATAAAATCACCGTCATAAATTTTAATTATATTCGATATTTGTTGCACAGTAAGGTTGTTGGCCGACACACACTATTTGTAATATGAATTAATTTAATAAAATAATCAATTGTACCAATAAACTTAATGCATATATTCTTTAGTCGGGAATTTAATTATTGCTCGAAAAAGAAGTATCTTCATATTTAAATGATCTATTTTGACTGTAACTCGCGTTTGAAGTTGAAAAAATAAATGTAAAGCTCGAAAAAGCAATGTTTACATTTTAATGTTTCCTCAGAAACTATAATAGATTGAACGGATGCAAAAGATGTTCGAGGAATGTACTTTTCTCAAAAATTATCAAATATTGAGTGGATCACACAAGATGCATATGGAAGCTGAATATTGTTAGAAGTCATACATTATTGTGGATTCAACCATTTGGCGGTAAATCGCGATCTAAGTTGAAAAAATGAAAAATTTACGCTCGAAAAAGCATTGTCTTCACATTTAAGTGATTTTCTCAAAAACTACAATAGATTGAACAGATCCAAAAGATACATATTAAAGCTGGATGTTTTGGGGAATGTAGCGACTATTCACATCTTGCTGTGGTTTCATCCAGTAATTCACATTTAATTTTAAAAAATTAACGCTCGAAAAAGCAGTGTTACATTTTAGTGTATTTCTCAGAAACTATAATAGATTGAACGGATCCAAAAGATGCATATGAATGCTGGATGTTCGAGGAATGTAATTTTCTCAGAAACTATAAAAGATTGAGTGGATTACACTAGATGCATATAAAAGCTGAATGTTCGGGGAATGTTGTGAGTAGTCATACATTATTGTGGATTCAACCATTTGGCAGTAAATCGCGTGAGTATTCACACCTTACTGTGGTTTCATCCACTAATTTGTATTTAATTTTAAAAACTTATTGTTCGAAAAAGCATTGCCTTCACATTTACGTGATTTTCTCAAATGTTGCTAGTAGTCACACATTATTGTAGATTCAACCATTTGGGAGTAAATCGCGTTCAAAGTTGCAAAAATTGTCTTCAAATTTTAGAGTATTATTTCAGCTTATAAGTAATAATTAGTGAAATTTCAGAAAGTTATTTTGGGGTAATTGTATTGAGATTTCTTTATATTTATTACGTTTTTGTATGAAAAAATTATATTTTCCACAATTATTCCTGATAAATCAATTTCGAATAATATATAATACAAAGTTATTTTTTTTCAAAATTAATAACGATCATCAACACAATTACTTATTGTTTCGAACTGGCACATTTATTCTTCTCTAATTAAACGTAGTAAATAGTGATGTTATCCATTGAAGATTCCTATTGTATGTAGAATAGTAAATCTAAAAAAAAATGCATTGAATCAAACTTTTTTTCCACAATTAACTATAATCGATTGCACCTGATTATGTACTAACATTTCATATTTTTTATTACATTTATCAGAATTTATCTATAGTATCTATTGAGAATCTTCTAAATCCACAACGAATTACATGTAATTACTAGGTTTCTGCATAAGTATATAATTATTATTTGCAGGCGATGATGGGTCTATAAAATAAGCTTAGGGAATTGCGTGATGTCGAACGTCCGACATAGTGACTTCTTTCTGTATGTAGTCCTCGTATGCATGCATGTATTTCCACTTAGTTTATTAAATGGACTAGTTTCAAGGTAACATTTTTTAATTACTTCGTAGCATTGAGGATAGTTATCAGGATAGTTAAATATTGTATAACTATATCTGGATCAAAATTTAAAAAAAAAGATGTGTTGCGTTTTATAGTAATATTAAAAACATTTACATTAAAATCTATTAGTATTTCGTGTCAAGGAAATACTTCAATTTACGTGTTTTCTGTATAATTTATGAACTGTAATGAATATCATTAGTTACTTACTAAATATGAAGTAGTATACAGTAAAACTTTGTTTTCAAAGGTCAGAATGGAAAAAGTTTTGTCGCGAAAGGAAAAGTTTGATTAAATAAGCAGTGAACTTACTTACAAAGTGAAATCACATTTTAAAATATGAGTTTAAAGTTGATTGTTCTTTCTTTTCATTCATTTAACAAGTTATTGCAACATTCAACATATTTTCCTAAGTCACGATCATTTTTGTTAAATGCAATAAACGTTTTCAATGTTATTTAAGCAATTTTTTAACTTTGTTATATCAAAAGTAACGTTATCTGAGGTATGGCTGTATTGTGAAGAAGCATATACAAGAATTTTTTTTTATTTTAGTGATTAATATTTGATATTTTGCAGAAGTGTCGAATATTCTGAAACACGTTCATTCTTAGAACCTTGCGCAATTAACAAACATCTCGTATTTCCATAATTCTCAGTTAGAATTTTACTAGAATCATTCAGACGATGAAATATGAACCGCCATCAAAGTGATAATAAATAAAAAGGAAAAAATACATACCTCATCTTCCAGCAAAAAAAAAACTTAAAATGTGTACATTTCAATCGTACTTCTTTCGGTTTGTTTTGTTTCTCTTCATCTACCATGTAAATACTGTAATTACAATTGCTAAAATTTGAATTGAGTAATTGTTTCCTGAAGAATGGTATTTCCTTGAAAATACAAAAAAAAACAACAAAAGTGTAGTTATGAGTATTTACGATTTCTGTAATGACTACATGCATGTATAATAAGTTGAGATGTTTTCGTATTTAGATTATGTGCGGAATAATATAAAAACGTTTCCAAGCATGTCGCTCGTACAGGATATCTTTCCTGTTTCTCTAGAAGAGGAGACGAAGAAATAATTATGTGGCGAATCAAGGTTGACAGGGTTAATGACTTAAATCAGATTAGATGTTTCAATTTAATCGTACTCTATTAAACAACGAACTGAATCAAGGAAATAATACATATAAATTGTCTTATTTAAAATATAATTAAAAACTATTAGAAACTTATTTTAAGAATGTTAAGGAACGTGTGTTTCTTTTTTTATATACAAAAGGTTGGAGTCAGTAAGTACACAAATGTAGATATGCAGCATGTCATATTATTTCACATATTTTAGTTGGAATTTAAAGTTTTTGAAGTTATCTCTTGATATATAATTGGAAAGAAAAATTTGCAAACAGCATTTTCTGAGAAACTGAAGATATTTAAGCAACTAATTATAATAACATTTATTTTGAATTAACTAAATAATAAATGTTGAGTAAATAATTAGAACTAATGTATTGTTGTTTGTTAATAACAAAATTGATTAAATATCAGTTTTCGATCTACTAAAGTATTTTCTTAACGTTTAAGAATAAAATTCTTATCATGGTTTAGAGAAAATAGCTAGATAACGAAATATGAATGAGTCTAATGAAATATATTATCTAAATTGTTTTAGTAAACAATAAAATAAATTGTATTGATAAATGGTAAGCATATACATTTTCTGTTTTACTAATATCTGACAATTAAAGAAATATATCAATTATAGTTCACTTTAAAGAATTATCATAATAGAGTTGTTGTTTCCCTTTCTATTAAGATTATGATATTTACTAATTGAGAAATTACTTATTAATTGTCATAAAAATACAAATCGAAGTTGCTTTATTAACTTATCTATTATACTTATAAATACTTTGGATACTTGATGTTTTACAACTTATTTTCGTCTAAGCCATTATTAAATAAACAAAAGTCTATTCAGTACATACTTGCCTATTTGCTACCTTCTTGGTAAGATCTTTATTAATAGCTGCATTATCAACTCAATATATGTTTACCAGTAGTACTAGCGTTTGTAGAACATTTCTTAATTATAATAAATCATCAATTTCATAACAAACATTTAACATTAGATGATTATTATGAATTGTGTACAAGTAACTAGTCTTTTTATTAAGACATTTAAACGAAACTTAATATTGAGTTTGTGCAGGTTTCTACAGAATATAATCATAATTTACTATTGGTCTAGATCAGAGGTTCCCAAACTTTTTTTGTGTCGTAGACCCCTTGCCATGTTTTTCGGTTTTGGGTTAAGATATTGATTTTTTTGTAAATTTATTATTTATATTGGGACATCTTTATAATTATTAAGATCTTTGCTCTGAGACTGCGCGTATGCTTGTAACAAGATGATACTGGTATATCATTATGTGCAGGTTTTTACAAACTCAAAATGTATTGCGACCACAAAGCGAATGCCTTACACACTTCCTACAACTTACACAATTTTATAAACATATATTATAAGATAGTATAATGTAAGTAAATAGGTACTATCAGTGTACCCCCAAAATTTTTTTTTTTCGCTGACGTAGACCCTTTGTAGGTTGTCATAGACCCCCTGGATATAGACCAGTTTGGGAATCACTGGTCTAGATAAAGTCTTTGTCTTAACCAATGATAATTAAACATTAATACTGCACAATGTTATTTATTAAGTTTAAGTGATGAATTCATAATATTCTTTTGAAATTCTCTGCGTATTCTTAAGGCTTCGTTAAAAGAGTTAAAAGGCGTGTTGTTATGTTGGTAGTCTATATATTTGCAATGGTATTTTGTGTCTAAACAAAACATGTTTTAAATGAACATATCTAATCAATATCATTCGTAGATAACGTATAGAATGTGTATAATGAAGCTCTATTTATTTTACAACCATAAATGCAGTTAATTGGTTAATGGGTATCACAAAGATTGTGGTATTGTGATCGTATGAATTACAAGCAATTTGTTGTTTTGCTATTGATATTGTTGTTGTTGTTGTAGAATTTGTTATGTTATGAGGTTGGTCGATTTCTGGATGGGTTTGGCAATATTTGAAAGACGCGCTGTACGTGCGCTGTTTTTGTTTTGCTGTGCGCAGGCTGGCATCGAGCATCTCACTCTCTGTCCCTCTCTCACCCGGCAATCATAACAAGAAAATGGCGAGCGCTTCGTTCACGGTTTACTGTCATTTGTAAAAATCTAAAAATATCAACCTTTATAAATGGCTTAATTAGTGAATCGTGTTGACCCTGTAAATTGTAAATAGTATATTGTATAGTTAGTGATAATATTTTGTGTTGTGCGTAATAAAAATTCAGTGTCTCTAAAGTTGTGATCGAAGCCTTAGTTGTTTAGAGTGCGAGAAAATCTTTACTACAAACGCCGACGCCGCCGCCGCCGCCGAAGTTTCTCAAACGTATATTCGCGAAAATACGCACTGTTCACTGCCGTTTCGAACCAGAGACAAGCAAAGGTACGTATTCCAATAATTTAACCTCAAAAGCGAACCGAATTATCCGCATCGGCTTGGTTAAAATTGCAAACAATTTTTTTGTGTACATCTGTCATTGTGCCGTCAGCCATTTGTTTTTACTGAGATCCATCCTCCGTACCGGGAATTCGAATTGTCATTCTCTCCCCCGTTATAAACAATGCCTAGAAAATGCATTGCTGCATTATCATGCAACACCTCTAGCATTGTTAACCTATGACCGTTGCGGATATCCAACCAGCACGTTTCCCTTCACGCCTCCGCGCGTCCCATGCCAATTAATTGTTTGCAGAATTAACCTCAAAAACTTTGCGAATCTCTTGAGTTGTCTCTCTCCCATGCATTAGATATATATATATTCCAAAGCAAAATGCAATTTTCTTTTTAAATTTCAAGTGAGACCAATGAAGTGGTTGGGTGGTGGTGATGGCAATGGTGTAGTTCACTTGGAAATGGACAGGGGACCTCAACGTACCCAGGATGATGCTGCGGTTGGGTATGAGTTCCAAAGACAGCCTGATCCAGAATTTCCACAGTTTGGACAGAAGCAAACCCGTTGGGCTCTTGGAGATGATACTGTTATTGATGTAAGTATTTTCAACCTTCCAATATATTAACATTTTATAAGCATTCAATTTATATTTAGTTATAAACAATTCTTATCTAATCATAGACAACCAGTTAAACAATGTTTTCTTATAAACAATATTCTATTTACAACCATTTTGATCTTTCAATAACAAACATGCATCATTATCAATGTAATGAGCATAAAAATTAACAATATTCAAGTTAACTAATGTTGAGTAAATTATGTAAAGAAATCCAAATTAATTTAAAAACACAAATTGTATAAACCCTTTGATGGAATAGAAATATCTACAGTCTGTTATTAATTTGTTAAGAAATTTCAATTATTTTTATTATAGACAACCAATTATACACATCACAAACAATAATGTTTATAGAAATTGTTAATACATATACTAAAATTAATCAAAAAATTACTATTCTATATATCACTGGTATCAACTATTTACTGTGCATATAAACATATTCAAGCTTACATGAGATTTAATTGCATTTTAGTATTTGTTAGTAAAAACGTAATTATGATCTAGAAATTGCAAAAAGACGAGCTTTCCGCATTAACCTAGTCTTCTATCTTATCGTAGATAAATATTCCTTGTAATCTTTCAGCTTCAATTCAAGATTCGATTCTTAAAAAGAGAGTAATTAATGTACAGAAATACCTCGTTTTATTATACATAAATGATCATTTTTACATTATACAGTCAAGTCTCTTTTTATGCAGTTCTCAATTAGTCCGGTTTCAAATAATCCGGGATATAGACGGAACTGTGCGAGGTATTTCTATACTAATATACATTTTATTCCCCTACACTAAGTTGATTAAATTTTTTTTGCGATATGTACTGAGTTGTTATTTTATTAAATTTTCCAATTACCGTAATGAACTGGCAGCTTTACAATAATTGTTTTTCATATTATTATTACTAATGATCATTGATACATTTTGAAGTTGGTTCTTTATAATAAACAATTTGTGTTAGCAAACAAGATTTGCTTTGCAAGTGCTTTGAGCTATTACTTCTTAAATGTACTTTCAATTTTAGTCAACTAACTAATAAATTAATTGTAATTAATTGTTTGTTAATGTTCTCATTAATACACTATTATTACTAATTAATAAATTCTCAAATGCAACATTAACAATTACAAACAAATTCCAAATTTTTTTTTCTGCCTTTATAAATTTAATATATATATATATACAATGTCCCACTGTTAATATATTTTTTTAATTCTGAACATTCATTCTCCGCATATTTTTATTTATTTATAAGTATAATATGTACTAAGTATAGACCGGTAATAAATACATGACGTAGTAGAAAACCGAAATAACTATTTAATGGAATGGGTGCGAAGTGTAAATATTATTGTGTACTGTGCGTTGACTCGTTTTTTTTTTGTATATCCTGCTTGCTTTTTACTATTTGTAAACGAATCTGCTATTATACAGAGTGACGCTTCGTTTCATTTCTACACTCTCGTTTTTATTTTCTTAATTGTAATAGCCACTTTTCGTTTCATAGTTGTCTTTAAAAAAAACAATGCTCGTGTATTTTATTTTGAATCTACTTTACGTTTTAGTAGTAACATAAATAGTCATAGCTTCTGCTTTAATATTTGAAAATATAAATAGGAATATGAATCATTGCATTATCATTTTATTTTCGAATTCGTTAATTATAATTGAATATGATATTTTATTTTAAGCATTTAACTGTATGGTCATATTGATCTATTAAATGCTAATGCATTGGCATATTTAAATATTTCAGCTAATTTCAAGTTTTTGTTTCATTCGATTTCTATCGTGTTTGATAATTTATTTATAGAATTGCGTTCAAAATCGAACATGTTAAATGCTAATTAAATCGAACAGTTGAAACAAATATAGTACATTATATGTTATATCACTTTTCTGTCAATAATATTATTTTAACCACAAGCTTTAGTTTTAATATCAATTTGTGATTTAATACAAATAATATTTATTGTAATAGTTGTACTAACCATTACATTAACAAAAGAGACATATATTGATTATAGACCATTCAATTGAGAGTTGTCAATATTATATTGAAATCAAAAGTTCAAATGTATTAATAAATTATTTTTATTAAGACTTAATTTTTTAATTTGATTTTTTTTTGGATCTATTAATCGATATTTTCAATAAATGACTATTTATTAAAGTATTTGTTAAAATGCCAAACAGCTTATAAAATTAATTAAAGATTTGCATTGGAAAGTTGATTTGTTTTTATTTATATACTAAACAGATATTGGTTTAATATGAAAATTGTTGTTGCTTACATTTTACTGCTTATCTTACACGTGTTTGGCGTAATCAAATGATAGATGGTCTCTGTTTAAGTAGGTATCATTAGTATATAAAAATAGCTCGTTAAACTAATTTCCAAGAGTAGTTCATCACGTTATAGTCAAGAAAGGAATATGCTTGTGATTACTACTTCTGTTTGCTACTATTATATCATAATAATCAAAACTAAGAAGTTGGTTATTCTTTTAAATATATATATATATTTTACACTAATTATAATTATGTTCAATTTCTAGTTATGCATGGATTGTTTGTGATGTATTTATATAAGTATGATTTTGAAAAGGTTGTGTTTTATGCATCTTAAATAAATGTTATGATCTGCAACCTAATTCTGATTTACAACGCAGACAAAACACGAGCTTAGTGGATCGATAATCCGCCTCTGCACAGAAGCTTAACGTTTTGGAATTCTTTATTTACTCTATAATAATTGTTCGTAAACTAATCATGTCTTTTGATATTTTTAAATGGTTAATTGCGTCGTTATATAAACAAGTCTATCCTATTGTTTCAGAATCATGACAAATGGAAGTTCCCAGTGAACAACAAAATGCAACATCAGGCCGGCCAGCCACCGAACATGACGTATATGGATCCAACGGGTATGCCCAGGTTGTATGACCTGGGTCTTCAGAACAAAAACGTACCTACGGACCAGTTAATGTACCAGTTGCCCGGTCAAATGACAGCTCCTATGCATAATCCATATATGCAGCAGCAGACCGTCCACACTCACTGTCCTCAGCATCAGATCTCTGTCCGTCAACCCACGCAGGTAAGAGATACACATTCATAAATAGTAATGGAAATATAAATAATCGGATGCGCCTCAGTGCACATACTTATTAATGAATCATGCTAAATAATTATTCGAATATACTACTGGAACGATGCTGGGCTATTGTATTTACACGACTGCTTCCGTTGCTCAAGAGGCCCAATATTTTTTTTTTCTCTTATTTGTAAATTGAACGTTAATCAAACTCGCGTTTGCAATACTTTCATAACAGAAATTGCTTCTGTTATTACGCGGCTGTATGTATTCCATTCTTGGTTTTTCGGGGCGATTAAAACGCGACAGTTGTTGTGGGCCGCCACCGTTGGCAATTAGAGAGAGAAAGACTATTTTTTTTGTAGTTTTGAAAATAACAATTCCTACATAGAAGGAAATGTGTTTATAATTCGCAATGTCGGGAGGTGGACGTTACGTGGGGCGTCACGGTGTTTAGCACGTGCAGATCATAATAAAACTTATTGCGCAATTGTTTCAAATGTCTTGCAATGTAAAAAGCCATGGTCTAATGTTAACGTCTTTTAAAAATATGTCTGTGCTTAGTCTAGAGCTCTTGTTTTCTAAACCAGTAACATTTGAAAAACTGATATTCATAACCTGCATTGTTAAAATCATCAATGCTTTAAAGTTAAACCATTTAATGAATATTCCATTAGAATTGAACCATTAATAATAATGTAATGTATCAGCAGTATTATAATTATATAATAGTAAAATTTTGTCACTAAAGGATGTTTCTTCGATTGATTTGTTTCGAATGGATTTAGACGTTTCATGAACAATAATTGCCAAGAAGTGGCATCATGTTATGGGTACCATATATGTTAGATGGCCTTTCTGGCCTTGCACCTTGACTTACTAACCTGATTGCCGAATAGTGTAAACACTTATAAGTTATGAAACGTCTTGTAGCCTACCTACCTACATCCACCAAGCACAGACGTAATCATCAGTAGTCGGCGCAGTGGAAGTGGTCCCCCCGTATGCTCTCTCAGTGTTTAACTTTCCCTCTTCGTTATAAATCACATTGAGCACTGACTGAATTCGACTACATACACACGTATGTAAAAAAAAAATAAATAATGGTTACATCACGCGTCCTGGATGCGAAGATGAAATTGCCGACGCTTGTCTGAAACTGAATTTAATTGCTTTTGCACAGTTTAAATACATTTATTTGAAACGTATTCGTTTCCCTTGATTTATTAACATTCGCACCGGCATAGATTTAGTACATGTGCTTCGCAAATTAAACCGAATTACATTTTAATTAATTAAATTTGCGTTGCATTATAATCTAATGCAAGATACCTGTTGTCCTGTAACAACTCATATTAATTACATTTCACAAACTAATTATGGTGTTTCATTTTTTTTCACATTGTACTTTGCTGAAGTTCATAATTACGAACAACTTACTTTCAGATTCAAACGCTGTTTTATGTTGATAGCTTTCATTCGTTTATTGATAAAGTTTAGTTAGTTTTAAAATGTTTTTTTTTAATCCATTTTCAATTACAGTAGACGTAGATAGAGATCATTATATAAAACGTATTAAATAAAGGTGAAGGAACTTGTATATCTATAACAATATGCTATAACTTTGCTCTCGAAATTCTTTTGTGAATAACGCAAACCTCGCGAACTCTAAGTGGTCTTCAAACCGGGCTTATATAATGTCAGCAGATATATTTTTATATATAATATAATATTTTCCTTAACCAAACTATTGATCAGGACTGTAATTATGTAACATTTGCGAACAAGTTACAAAATATAATACAATTGAAAAGTATTTGTTAAAAGGTTTTGTATCGTTAGTAAATCCATATTTTGTAATTCTTTCAGTTTAGTTTCATTAGTATCAACCTTGATCGTGCCAATAATAATTGGTTTGTATTAGTTAACTCAATTTATGTATTTAAAAATGACAAATATCTTCACGGTCTATTGAATGTGTTTCTCAATTGCAAAATGATCTTTGTTGTCGTAATATAAGTTTTATTCAAAGAATTCTTCACTTATTCTAGAATAATCACTTTTGAATCTAGTATGAAGATTTAAATTGGTTTATTTTTATAGCTTTATGTTCTTTCTTAAAAATGAGTTACGATTAATGAATTTTAATTTAAACTACTAATGTTCTTTAAGCACTATGCGGCAATATTATTGATTTACGTACATCTAAAACTATTTAATTCAAAGATCGTACTGTCAGCAAATTGCAAGTAACCCAATGTTCATGTATTTAAATTTAAATGCTAGTAAAAATTAAGCAATGTTTGTCGCTGATAGATCACGAAAGGACTATATCTTGTCTTAAGTTAGTTATCTAGGAAGACTAGTCTAGAGGAAACCTATCAAATACAAGTATTATTCTTAGCATTGACATTGAATTTTATGAAGTTACAGAACTGCTATTTATTAGATTATAACGCGGTAGATTCATAACATAACAAGCCATTATTCAGTTTGTTATAACAATAATAAACATCTTTATTGGCCGGCCGACGGTTAACTGAACAATTACGGGTCATGGTCTGTAAGCTATTATAGTTTATAATTTTAAAACAAATAAATAAACATAAACAACATTTATACATTCGTAGATATCATTTGTCGATATGCTGCACATAATCCAAAAATAAACAAACTGCATATATACAATATTGGTCAGTTAAATTATATTATGTTTATTTTTTTATTAAATCAAGTGTTTATATTTAATACTTAGGTTGTTATCAAATTCTAATGATAACATTAGACATTGATAATTCAATATTTATATACATACATAATAAATATTTATATTTTTAAGTTCATTTCTGTGCAAGAAATTTTCGTGTAACAAAGTATTTCAAATGAAGATTAGTTGAATATAGCTTTGTAATTTGTTTTTAATTGAAATTATTATAACACGAAGAATTTAATTAAGTTATTAATTAATTTTAATATATTTGTGATGTTCATAATTGGTTAAACTATTATGTTTATAATGTTATTATCCATAAAGAGTTAATAATGTTTTGCTGCTTTAAACTTTAGAAAAACAAGAATATTTGAATGACTAGGATGAGCTGAGCCTTTTTGTATTTAAAATTGAATGGAGAATGCCTCCTCTTGCATAGTGTTTAATGCGCAGTGTCAGACGATGTTGCGAACTGAAAGCAATTATTTTGTTAACAACCGTAAACCCATTCATTTTAACATATCGCCGCGTTCTGAAGGTGAAAAGATTTTCGAGAAAATGTAATTACATTTTGTTCACGACGTCATGCGGCAGTTTTATTGATTTTTTCAATTACGATCAAGTTTCACGTATTCCAACTTAGTTCGTCGAAATATCCGCATGTAGCTTATTATATTTTTACGAAGTGGTATTTTATAGAAAAGTAATTTCATTTATGTGAAATTGTGGAAAGTTTTTTTTTTTCTCTTTTTGAGAATAAAGGAAATGCCTTCTCTCCCTCCCGCCATATGCGTTTCAAAACCACACCTTTAAAACCCAATTATCTCGGGTGTCTCATGTGGAATCGTTGCCAGCTGAAACTAAATTTTGGTGGTAAATTTTGTTTAATCAATATTTATTCAATACCAGAATTTGGATGATTATAAAATACACTTCTTAAAGATATTAAATGAATATTAACATATTGTTTATATAATTTTGATTTCCATACTTTTACTGAAAATAATAGATTAATTTTGCCATTCACGACCAAATATATTGGTGCAGTTGTTAACTTAGTAATTTGTTTAATTGATTTTATTTAGTTTTCCTAATGAATAATTTAAAGAATATATTAATTTTTTAACTTCTCCTTATACTAAATACTTTGTTAATGATAACTCGTATTGATTTGATGTTTTTCCTCATTTGTTTTCTATTTATAAACTTTATAATAATTCTGTACATATTCGAAGCAAATGTCAAGGTCAATCGCGTGGTCTGAAAGTGATAAAATTAACTTGTGTATAAAAAATCAGATGTAATTGATAATATTTAATGGGACGTAATAATAATATTGAAAATCATTAAACTTATTAATGGTTGATTGCGCGAAATATAAACTTTAGTAAAAGATATTCGAATTACCATTACTCTCAAAAATAGCATTTACTTCTGGTTATTTCTCCATAGACATGACATTTCTTAGGAAAAGGATCTCTGCTTTTAGGAGAAAAAAAAAGTACTGCCATAAAGCAGTATACATAAACCACGTTTTTCAGTAATGGAATTTCTGAAAACCGTAGGTACTAGAATTATTTTATAGGAGATTTTAATGCCCTTGTATTTGTATTCACTTAAACACGTATTATTAATTATTATTCAGATTTCTCTCTATAACATATTCAGAATAATCAATGTATTATCTTGTTAAACAATTTGAGTAACAACAATAAATTTTACACGTAAGACAACTACTCAGACAATGATTAAAACTTGAAATATTTGCTTATAAATAATCGTCGACTTTAGATTATATAGACTTTATTGGATCGCTTTTCTATAGATAAAAGTAGTGATATAAATACTGGTGTTAGATGCGTTTTTTTTGGACTGAAATTATAGGTAAATTTTGAATGAATAGTTATATTTCATGAGATGGGGTCGGTTTAAAATGGATATAAGTATGGATGCGAGATTATGGTTCCCAGAAAGGAAGGAATGGTTGTTTTTGTGATACTTTATGTTTGGTGCTGCGGCAAAGATATACACATAGGGGTGTAACCCTGCCCTAACCTAATAGTGCGATGCCGGTTCGTAAAGCTGCGCACGGCTCACGGAGTGATGCGACTGCAGCACAGCGCAGTCGCACCATCACCTTCGGGTCTTTGTTCTGTCCTTCTTGCCAGTTTGACGTTGTGTAGTCGACGATTGGTGTTATGAAAGTTCGAAGCTAGACGCGCCGGGTACTGTGTTTACGATCTCGATCAGTGTGTAAATAAGTAAAGATATATATGAAGTGGTGTTCAGCAGT